GTGTATGTGTGTGTATGGGTGTGTGTGTGGGGGGGGGGGTGTATGTGTGTGTGTGTGTGCGTGTGTGTGTGTGTGTGTGTGTGTGTATCTGTCTGTGTATGTGTGTGTGTGTGTGTTTGTATTTACGTATTTATTCATTTATTCATCTATTTATCCATATATCTATATATCTACCTATCAATCTAACTATCTATTTATCTATCAATTTCTCTATCTATATAAATATGAACATTCAATTATATATTTGTGTGTGTGAGCAATTCCATTCTTTATCTCTCTCATCTCTTGAAACTCTCAGCTCTTGTATCTCTCTTACCCCTCACATCTCTGTCTTATCTCTCCTATTTCTCTCATCCTCTCTTATCCCTCCATCTCTCTCATCTCTCTTATCCCTCCATCTCTCTCATCTCTCTTAGTTCTCTTATCTCTCTCACTTCTCTTATCTCTCCTATCTCTCTCATCTTTCTTATCTCTCTCATTTCTCTTTTCTCTCTTATCCCCCTTATTTCTCTTATCTCATTCATTCCCCTTATCACTCTCATCTCTCTTATCTCTCTCATCTCTCTTATCCCTCCATCTCTCTCATCTCTCTTATTTCTCTCATCTCTCTTATCTATCCTATCTCTCTCACCCCCTATCACTCTTATCCCCCCATCTCTCTCACCTCTCTTATCTCTCTTATCGTTGCAGGTGACCTCGCCTGACCTCCACCATGGGGCTGACCTTGGCCGAGTACATTCGCCTGAAGCGGCAGGGTCTCATCGAGGACGACGTCAAGCCCAAGACGAGGTCAAAGGTCAAGCCACAAGCGAATACCCAGGGGAAGGCAGACCCCGATGATGAAAGGGAGAGACAGGAGAGGGAAGCGAAGGAGAGGAGAGACGCAGAGGAGAAGGAGAGGAGGGAGAAATATGAGCGAGAACAGAGAGAAAAGGATGAGAGGGAGAGAAGAGAGAAGGAGGAGAGAGAAAGAAAGGAAAGAGAAGATAAGGAGAGGGAGGAAAAGGAGAAGAGAGAGAAGGAAGAAAGAGAAAGGAAAGAGAAGGAAGAAAGAGAGAGAAAAGAGAAGGAGAGAGAAAGAAAGGAGAAGGAGGAAAAGGAGAAAAAAGAAAGGGAGGAAAGAGAAAGGAAAGAGAAGGAGGATAAAGAGAGGAGGGAAAAGGAAGAGAGAGAAAGAAGAGAAAAGGAGGAGAAAGAGAAGAAGAAAGAAAAGAAAAGAGAAAAGGAGGAAAAAGAGAGAAGAGAGAGAGAGGAGAAAGAGAGAAGGGAAAGAGAGGAGAAAGAGAAAGAGAGAGAGAGGAGAAGAGAAGAGAGAGAGAGAGGAGAAAGAGAGAAGGGAAAGAGAGAGAGAGAGAAGAGAGAAAGAGAGAAGGGAAAGAGAGGAGAAAGAGAGAAGGGAGAGAGAGAGAAAGAGAGAAGGGAGAGAGAGAGAGAGAAAGAGAGAGAGAGAAAAAAGAAGAGAGGAGAAAGAGAGAAGAGAGAGAGAGAAAAAAGAGAGAGAGGAGAAAGAGAGAAGAGAGAGAGAGGAGAAAGAGAGGAGAGAGATGGAAGAGAAGAAGAGGAGAGAGAAAGAGGAGAGGGAGAGGCGAAGAGGTGGATACCAAAACGACCCGTATGAGGAGGACGACAAGAAAGAAAGAGAGAGGAGGAGGAGAGAAGAGAATAGAGACCGACGAGAGAGAGGATACCGGAAAAGGAAATACGAAGAAACGGACGAAAGAAGGAGAGAGAAAACCGCGAACTACGACCGGGCACAAAGCACGCGAGAAGGTGCGAACAGAGACGACAAATACAGGAAGGAGAGAGAGAGGAAAAACCCATACGAAAGAGAGAGGAGAGAAAGCGCTTACGAAAGAGGGAAGAGAGAAAGCGCATACGAAAGAGGGAAGAGAGAAAGCGCATACGAAAGAGAGAGGAAAGAGAAGAGAGAAAGCGCATACGAAGAGAAAGGAGGCCAACCCATACGAAAGAGAAAGAGAGAGAGACCAAAAAGAGAGGAGAGATACTACAGCGAAGGAGAAGAAGAAGACGAAGAACAAATGGAGAGAGAGAGAAAGGACAGAAAACAGAGGCAACCAGCTGAGAATTACCCAAGAGAAGGAATTATCCAAGGGAGAGAGATAACCCAAGAGAGAGAGACAACCCAAGAGAGAGAGATAACCCAAGAGAAAGAGATAACCCAAGAGAAAGAGATAACCCAAGAGAAAGAGATAACCCAAGAGAGAGATAACCCAAGAGACAGAGGCAACCCAAGAGAAAGAGACAACCCAAGAGACAGAGATACCCCAGAGAATCGAACGATAAAAACGGAAGAAACCAACCCGGAGATAACGGGAAAAAACAACAACAACACAATAACACGAAGAAGCCAAAGAAGCCAAAGAAGCCACGAGAGGAGAGATTCGACGACTTCTTGGCTTGGCTGACGAGCGGGAGCAAGCAGGACATGGGTAGGGCGGGTGAAATCCTCATAAGCGATGACTCCGATGATGATGATTGAGATGATGAGGATTGAGAGAGGAGGAGGACGGCGATGACTGGGGAGAGGAGAAGGAGGAGGAAGGCCGGGAGAGAAAAGGAGAGGAGGAGAAGGAGAAGGGAAGGAGAGGAGGAGAAGGAGGATGACTCCGATGACGATGATTGAGATGATGAGGATTGAGGAGGAGGAGGACGGCGATGAATGACGGGGGAGAGGAAGAGGAGGAGAAGGAGGAGGTGGGGGACGAGGAAGAGGAGGAGAATGAGGAGGACTCCGATGATGATGATTGAGATGATGAGGATTGAGGAGGAGGAGGAGGACGATGACTGGGGAAGAGGAGGAGGAGGAAGGCCGGGAGGAAAAGGAGAGGAGGAGAAGGAGGAAGGGGAAGGAGAGGAGGAGAGGAGGAGGACTCTGATGATGATGATTTGAGATGATGAGGATTGAGGAGGAGGAGGACGGCGATGATGACGGGGGAGAGGAAGAGGAGGAGAAGGACGACGGAGAGGTAAAGGAGGAGAAGGAGGAGGACTCCGACGACGATGACTGAGATGATGATGATTGAGGAGGAGGAGGACGACGATGATGACGGGGGAGAGGAAGGAGGAGAAGGAGGAGGACGAGGAAGAAGAGAAGGAGAGATGAGGATGAGGGGGACGAGGAAGAAGGAAGGAGAGGAGGTGGACGAGGATGACGGGGGAGAGGAAGAGGAGGACGAAGAAGAAGAGAAGAGAGGAGGAGGTGGGAGGACGAGAGGAGGAGGAGGAGAAGGAGGAGGACTCCGACGACGATGACTGAGATTATGAGGATTGAGGAGGAGGAGGAGGACGATGAGTGGGGAAGAGAGAGGATGAGGAAGAGAAGAAGGAGGAGTGGCGAGGAAGAAAGATAAGGAAGAGAGAGGACGACGAAAAGAAGGAGGAGGAAGATGACGATGACGATTGAGAAGGAGGGCGGCGACGGGGAAAAGGATTAGGAGGAGTAGAGGAGGAAACGAAAAAGGTGGAGAAGGAGGAAGACGATGAGGAGGGAAGGATAAGGAAGAAGAGGAAGGACAGGAAGACGAAGAACAAGAAAAAAGAAGATGACGAAGACAGAAAACGAGCAAAAAGAAACAGACGAAAAGGAAAATGAAGAAGAAGAAAAAAAGGATAAGAAGGAGAATAAGAAGAAGGAGAAGGAGAGGAAGACAAACGACGAAGAAACGGAAAAAAGAAAACGAACGAAAAAAAAGCGAAAAGACGATGATAAAGAAGACCAAAGAAGTGACAAGATGACAAAAGCGATTCCCTTGACACTGATGATAAAATTAAAAGTGTTAAGTGTTAAGTGAAGTTGGAAAAGTGTAAAGTGCAATTGCAAGTGTCTCGCCCTTATTTTCTGGGCTGTGAGTTTCATGTCTCGAGTAATCTTCGCGTGCTGTTGCAAGCTGTGTTGCTGATCAATTTTGCTTTTAGTCTCGCGTGCATTATTACATGATATATTTATGCGTATATGTGTTGTCTGTGTGTGTGTGTGTGTGGACAATATATGTATGTATGTATATATATTTATTATATATATATATATTATATATATTATATATATATATATATATATTATATTATATATAATATATATACATATATTATATATATAATTATATATAATACTGTACTATTATATATATATATATATAATATATATAGTTATATATATATATATATATNTTTATTTTTTTATTTCTCATTGTAATACACGCACTTTTGTCCGTCCTTTTTGAGGTCTCTTTCGCCTCTCCTTTTGAGTGTCCTTCTCTGTCTCTCATCTTTTTGTGCTCTTATACTGTCCTCTCTTCTTCTTATTGTGCTCTTTCTGCTCTCTCTCTTTCGTGTCTCTTTCTTGTCTCCTTATCTCTCTTTGTAGTCTATATTTGTCCTCTCTTCTCCGTTTTCGTGTTCTGTCTGTCCTGTCTGTCTATTTGGTCTGTCTATCTTCTCTCTTTTCTTCTCTCTCTTCTCTCTCTCTCTTCATCACTCTCTCTCTCTCTCTCTCTCTCCTCTCTCTCATCTCTCTCTCTTCTCTCTCCTCTCTCTCTTTCTCTCTCTCCTCTCTCTTCTCTCTCTTTCATCTCTCTCTCTCTCTCTCTCTCTCTCTCTCTCTCTCTCTTCTCTCTCTCTCTCTCTCTCTCTCTCTCTCTCTCTCTCTCTCTCTCTCTCTCTCTCTCTCCCTCTCTACATATCATTCTCAAATCTATTTCTTTCTCTGCCTCCCCATCCCCTTAATCTTCATCTCCCTCTCTCCCTCCATCATTCCCTCTTCCTCTCTTCCCCTTTATCACTTCCCTATTCTTTCTTATTTTTTTTCACCGCCCCCCCCTCCCCTCCCCCACTCCCATCCCACCCTAGCATGTCCTGTGGAAAATTTGTCAGATGCCTATTATTTTTTTATTCTCTGCCCTCGCTCATTATTATTTATTGCTATTTTCTTTTATTATTATCATTGTTGCCGTGGTTAGTTATTTATTTATCTTATTATTTTTTTCATCATTATAAGTTTTGTTTTTGTTGTCATTATTAGTACTAACATTATTATCCCTATCATTATTATCATTATTATTAGTCATTATTATTTTATATAATAATTATTATAATCATTTATATATTCCGTTGTTGTGTGTTCTTATTGTTTTCTTATTATTGCTGTTGTCATTATTATTATCATTATCATTGTTGTTGCTGTCCTTTTTATTTTTATTATTGTTATTATCTTTCTTATAATCATTATTATCATTTTTATTACATATTTATCCATTCTATTATCATTTATTTATTGTTATCATTATTATTATCATTATTGTCATCATCATCATTATCGTTACTATTACCATTGTTATCATTATTATCATTATAATTGTTATTATTATTGCTGTTATCATATCCATCCGCATTCTTATTGTTATTATTCCTATTATTGCTATTATCATTATTGTTTTCCTCATTAATTAATTATCATTATTATCATTGTTATTATCATTATCAAATATTATCACAATTATCATTATCAATATTATCATTATCATTACTATTACTATTATTCTTTTCATTATCATTAATATCATTCCTATTAATATCATCATTATTATTGTTATTATTATTATTATTATTATTATTATTATTATTATTATTATCATTATCATCATCATCATCATCATTATTATCATTATTATTATTATTATTTATATTATTAATTATTATTATTATTATTATTATTTATATTATTATTTTTATTATTATTATTATTATTCATATATTATTATCATTATCATTGCTATTATTATTATCATCATTATCATTATTATCATTATCATCATCATTATCATTATTATTATTATCAATTTATCATTACCATCATTGTTATTATTATTGTTGTTATTGGTGTTGTTCTAATAACTATTACTATTACTTTTATTGATATTCCCGTTATTACTCTAACCATTATCATAATCTTCATTGGTATTATTATCATCATCATAGTTATTATAATCACTATTATTGTTACTATTATTACCATTATTTTTGTTATTACTATTATCATTATCATTATCATCATCATTACCATTATTGGCAATAGTAATATTACTATCATATTTATTAACATTTATTTTTTATCATAATCATTATATCATTTATATTCTTATCATTGTTATCATTATCAATATTATTGCTCTCGTCATTATCCTCGTTATCACAATTATTATCATCGTTATCATAAATGCTATTATCATAATCATCAGTATCATTATGACAATTGCTATCACCATCATCAATAATATTTGTTACCATCATAGTTATTGCTATAATTATCCTTTTCGTCATTAGTCACCAGTCATTAGTATAATCCTTATCCTAATAGAAGGAGCAGTAGCATCGCCATTAAGATTTTCCCGAGAGCGGCCTGCGGGCTTGGCCACGGACCTCGTAAAAAGACAGAAAGAACCAAACTCGGGCCTTTGCTCGGTAAATAAACTTCACAATACCAACACCATTACCATCCCTCCTCTCTGCCATCAGCATTTCCACCACAGCTCCTGCCAACTGTGTGCCACTAATGCAGGGAATCTTCTGACACCGTTTGTCTGCCTCTCCGGTGTCAATTTTGTGTTTAGTTTTTGTTTATGTTTTTTTCTCGTTATCTTTGTTATTATTATTATCATTATCATTATCATTATTGTTATTATCATTGCCATTTTATTATTGCTTGTTTGTGATGTTTTTTTTCTATCTTTTTTTAAGGATTGGTGGGATTGTATGATGAGATTTGATAGATTGTGATAGGTTTTTATGATAATGATAATAAATGATAATTATAATAATAGTGATAGTAATAACAACGGTAATCTGAAAAAATAATGAAGAGTCACATAAAGGCTATGTAAATATGCATTGATAGAAAAAAGGTGAATAGAATAAAAGTAAAAATATAACTTTAAGTGTAATATAGGATAAAATTTCAGCTAAAAATGAAATCAGCTGGGACGCAACTTCAGTACATCGAGATAAAATATGATTATGAAATATTTTTGAAACACGAGACACACAAACAAAAAATCTCAGAAAACAGTATAAAAACGTTGATGAACGAATGAAAGGAATAAAAACTGATGAAAATGAAGATAATGTAGAAGATAATGCAACAGAGAATATTAATGGCGTCGACGACGATGATGATAATGATAAGAACGAGAAAAATGATAGTAATATTAACAACAGTAACAATAACAACAATGGTAAAAATTATAGTAACAATAATGACTGAAAGAATGATGATAATCATAATAATAATGCGAGATCAAGGGAGAGCGAGCGAGATAGTAATAGCAATAATAATAACAAGAGCTACAATAATAATAAAAATAGAAATGATAATAGTCATAATCACAATAACAATGGAAATAGTAATTATAATGTAATTATGATAATGATAATAATAATAATAATAATAATAATGATATAATAAACAAATGATAATTATAATAATAA